TTATGAGTAGTATTCAGGCACTACCTGAAAGTTTCTAGTTTAGAATGTAATTTGACATGTGTTATTGTGAAGATTTTAGTTTTCATTGCAATACAAATTAAGGTGGGTTTTTTTGCCTATATTAAAGTATATTTTAGATTTTTTTAGCAATAAAGATCTGTTATACTACCCTGCTAGTGCTTTTCATAAGAATGCAAGCTGTTAAACTGGAAAATGAAATGTATGGGATTCTCATTCTTAAAATCAGAAGCTACAACATATCTTCTTAAGTTTCCAGTTGCAAGTTATAAAAAAAAAGAGTTTAAAGATAAATTCTCTGAAGATGGATCTTCATAGAGAAATGTGGTGAAGAATTAAAGGTGTATTTTAAACTAAACTGTGACCTGAATAGCTAGTTCTCTGGTAAAACAAGAATAGTTATTGGACAGTTAAAGGTGTATTTTAAAAGTAAGCTATGACTTGAAACTATTTTTATAGTTAATCCCAAGAATATTTAGCTGAGTGTTGTTTATAAATTTTTGGGTCCATGTTCAATTAAGTTATGTTTATATATGAATCAATGATACTTTTAGTAGAATAATTAAAAAGTTATATAAGTGTAACATGTTAACCATCCCTTAATTAGAAATGATAGACAACAGCAGAGGCAGCTAGTCAACACCATCCACTGTCAACTCTTGGGCTACTATAATTGAATAGTGGGATTGACCATTACATTATAAAGTCCTCATGGCATAAAGAGCAAGCACGTCCAGTGATGGAATTGGAACCTGTGACCTGAAAATTGTGAATCAACTGTTTTCACCACCGTGCCATGCCAGGCTGAGCATCAATAAACTGCAATTATTGTCTTGCTTTTTGAATTAAGACTCTTGTGTTTATTGTATGTAAAATCCAATATATTTTATGTGTTAGTTAGATATAATCAATAATATTGAGTGCAAATGTCCTTTTCTCATGAGGACTTCTCGTTAAAAAATGTATGTTATATATATAAAATTGGGCCTATACTGAAACTGATCACCTAGTTTTTCTTCATTTCTCAATACCAATATGCATGATTAATTGTTTACATGCAAGGTCCTATGATATGTGAAGCTTCTAAATTTTTCAAATGGAAAGCCATTTACTTGGATACTTTTTCAGAAGTTGATTTGCACAGTTCTAAAGTTGTGCTTTTTGAAAACCCATTCTTTTATCCCTAAAGCAGTTTGCATGATTTTCCCCATTGCTTCTGCAATCCTAGCTTTGGGTTATCTTTTAGATAGTACATAGATAACGATAACCATTTTACTACCTATCCAGGACTCTTAACTTTGGAAAATGGAAATAAGCCAGACAAGCAGGGGTGAGGATGTGGGTGAAGGTGTCCCTCTCCCACTGTATATATGGTTGGGAGATGGGGGGTGCGCTGTAAGCTCCTCATCCACATTTGCCCTACTGTCTAATGTTTTGTGTTGATTGATTACATTGTTTGAAAGTGTTTCAAAAGTCATGGTTTAAAGTCACCTGTTGATAACGAGAAAATCATTAAAAAAAACTTATTGATGCTGAATACGGAAATAATGTGCTGATGACCAAAAACATGACAACGGAAAAATTCTGGAAATTCAAGGGTGTGATCATGAACTCATGGCAAATAATACGAGCTTTTGACAAAAGCAGATAAGTAATCGAAAAAAATGCTTCATTTAAAAACTGGAAGATCGGTTCACGGACTGCGAGTGAAATTTTTGCATTTTTTCAATGAGGTGGGGAAACAGGCGATGGAACGTAAATGCGAGAATATCCTGGATATTATGGAAAAGTTGAGGATCGTGTAAAACGCAGTGTCTGCTCGATTAAAACTAAGAATGTGACAACAAAACGCTGTCCCTTCAGTATTTTTTTCATTTGTAATTATGCGTGTAACTGTTAATTACTAAAAAAACACCTGCGAGACATACACATACAAAAACCCTACTGCGAGTTAAAACCCGAGCTCCACCGTAAGATGTCACTCATATACGATACCAAAGATGTTTGCAATTTGTAAATACCTCAAGGGCACGAAGAAGGTTCAGTGTGCAAGCTACAGGTGTCCTCCAGGTTACTGACCTTCGATGAGCTACAAAAGCGGCTCTAGGAGCCCAGTGAACCGAAGATTCTCGAATGCCGATTCTAGTATCAGAAGCACTAATGAACTACCAAGTGTGTCCATTTCTCAATAAACGCTATTACAAAATGAATAAAGTCATCGATAAAAAAAACAGACTCTTACACGGTTCAAAGAAACCACAAACGTAAAGTTTATTACAAGGCAGCTCATGTATATTATACAATATTTATCACATGAAAAATGAAGAGGTAAGTGACCCTTATACTAACATAACTGAAGATAACATCAAAACCAACCAAGAACTGTCTACACCAGCTAAAATACGGATGGAAACAACAAAGGAAGTTACATCCATTTCACACTGGGACTAGTCGATTACGTATTGCTGACATACGACACACTATATATTATACAACATTCTCAATATAAACAGAACAACTAAAAAGCCTGTAGCTGGATCTAAGTTTGGATTTTTATGTTACCTTTTAACTTTTCTTTGTCACAACATTCTTTTATAAACTTGTTTATAGTACACAATTTATCCTAATGATCACGAAGTAGTTAGTAACATACAATAAATGTATATATCTCCATATATCCAAACAGTAGTGTTCCTTAGTGTTGTGCTTGAACATAATTCATCTTGTAATTTACTACATCTGTGATTATAAATAATAACAAACACCAGTGCTCTGATATGACGTAATTATGTCAGAGTTTACAGTCATGTACAGAAAGTGCCGCATGGCTAGCTCGTGCGTCCTTGATTTTGAATAGATTTCATTTTGAAGCCCCCCCCTCCCCCTCCCCAGTGGCTCAGATGCAAGTCTAAAGAGTTATAACGTTGAAACCTGGGTTTCGATACCCATGATGGGCACAGTACAGATAGCCTACTGTGTAGCTTTGCGCTTAACAACATATATATATATATATATGTATTATGAGACATTAAATTATGAATTAACAATATTTTTCAGGGATGTACAATTTTTTTTTATTTTTACTTAACAAATCAAAACTTCTGATTTTGAAACAACAAACAAGCTGAATTCTTAGCAGATTTTACCTGAGAGTTCGAAGTTGTTTTTATTCTCTCAAGAGAATTTCCTGGTGAAGAAAACTGAATCTTCCAAGTTACCTTGACTTTTGTGAACTATATTGAAATGTAACTTATTGTTAAAATTGCATAACTCGTTTAGTTTGGTTTCTTTTGAATTTCGTGCAAACCAAACGAGGGCTATCTGCGCTAGCCGTCCCTAATTTAGCATTAGACGACTAGACACGACCCACCGCCAACTATTGGGCTACTGTTTTACCAACGAATAGTGGGTTTGACCGTAACATTATAATGGCTGGTCGGGGATTCGAGCCTCAGTGCATAACTCGATCCCGAAAAAGAAGGTATCCCCCTCTAGAAAACCATACTTTAACTATGGATTTTTAAGGTTTTCGAATGTGCTTCTGTATAATTAATGAAGTGATACCTTATTACAAAACATTTAGTCAATTCCTTTTTAATGTACTATGTTATACACACACACACACACACACACACATATATATATATATAAATCAAATTAATATAATAGATTAACCCTGAAACTTGTTTTCATACTCTTCACTACCGGTGGGATCTAGGTGTTAAATGATGATCAGCAATTTCATGTTACACCTGTTACAATACCAAGTGAAATAACTCATTTTGTATATAATAATACACAAGGAACCCCAAAGGAATTAATTCCAATACTGGTGGTATTTTTGCTTAGATTTTTTTGTGTGACTCCTATATTATAATGGACTCTGTAATCAACAAAGTCATCGGAAAAAATAATTTGATGAAAAAACAGTTTAGAAAAGCGTTGATGGGGCCTAGGCCCCATTGGTATACCTAGGGGTTAAACTATCTTACTTCACCCTAGAGTAGTTATAATATCGTAAAATCAGTTTAGATTGTACTGTCTTTCTAAAGAAACGTGTGCAAATCACAAGCAACGGTGACGTAAATAATCTTATAAAACTTTATGATAACTTACATATTAAATTGATTATAGAAGGATAACAGACAAAAGACTCAACTACTGAGAGGTTGAATGTTCAGTTCTAAATTAAACATTTTAACGACATGTTTGGACCAGTCGAGTTCGACGTCTGTGGTTGGCTGATCATGCCTGCCACCAATGACCACGAGAAAACAGCAAAAATGCGAGAAGTTCCTTTTCTTTAACACCTGGCAGATTTGACAGGCGACAATTTCAGTAATCATGTTGGCAAAACAAGCACGAAACTAGAACGGAGTTTGTGTAAGGTCATTAGTTTCTGCGATTTATATTAGTACATTTCTTATGGTTAATCATGTTTATCATAACAATAAAGAAAATATCCCTTAGTAACCAACTTTTAACATTCCATCTGTCTTATACATAAGCGAATGATCACTGTAGCAACACCTGGCCAGTTAAACCAGTAGATCCTACACGCGAGTGAGGTCAGTGGTCACGTGTAAGTTGAATACAACTTGTTTTGTTTCTTAAAAACAAGTTAGACCACTTTAAAACATTACTTGTACGTTTTATACTGAACAAGTTAATTTTTTTAAGATATCGATGTAGTATTTACAACTTATAATTATCTGAATCACCACTGGCTGTTTCTATTCGTAAACATAATTCGTCATCGATACATAAAACAGTCGAACACGGGTTCTACCTTCAGAAATTTGAATTATTACACATAAATACTGCAATACAAACTTACAAGATACTCATTGAATTCATTAGTCGCACAGATTCCACAAAACTATGGCTACAACAGATCTAATTTCTCCTGAAACTTGTACTTCACAAATTACATAAACATATTCCAATATTGAAATGTGTACATGATAGATATTATTACTTACCCTTGTAACAATGACCATGTTGACCTAGAACATGCAAAGCTGGTGATGGTTCAATAGTACTCTGTAAGAAGAAAACATAAAATAATATAATCACTGACTTACTGTTTTGAATTAGTTTAGAGAGCTTACAAAGTATACGTACTTATTAAGAACGTCAGATATGTCGAACGTTGTTTAGAACTATCACCATGAATTAATTTTTCGTTTTATAATATATTATGATTTTTTTCTCTTTTTTTTCAGGGCGAATGCCTGAGGAAATATTATGATTTACATGATTAGATTGCTGCACCTGTAGAAGATGAAGTAAACAAGGTATTCGATGTAATCTGAACATCCATAATTATTTAATACATACGTGCAGAACTCGGGTAACAACATGCACAGACTAGCGAAGTACGTAGATTAACGCTGTGTAACAAGTATTAGATCTATAAACACTTTATGAGGTCCATTCAACTCGCAACAGTAGTTACCATCGTTAAGCCTAACCAATAAACTGATTTTTAGCGAGAAAAGAATCTTTTTCAGATAAACTAGTTAATTAAATTCAACATTGCATGACGTGTAACATACGACTGCAACAATGGTTTGAACAATAGGTCGATGGATGAAGACTACGTGGAGCCCACTAGATACGTGTCCACTTTTGGTTTTTGACGTTCTGTATAAACACTAAAATTTTCTAATCAGTCCACTCATCAAACTGTTTTAATGGGTTATCTGTGCTGTATCCAATACGGGTATCGAGACCTAATATTTAGCGTTATAAGCCTTCAGATTTACCGCCGGGTCACTGGGGGGGGGGGGATTCTACTTATCAAATTTTAGTAATTTTCGAAATGTTTTAAGTCGCATATAGATATGGCTCATAACACAGATCGCAAAACTTATGTTTTAATAAGCCCCTATGTAACAGTAAGATGTAAACACACTTTTTTAAAAAAATCTTTTTGGAATACCATTACTGAAATATTTTGTTGTACAAAAGTGACACTTATATGTTCTAGCACTGACCACTCGTTAAAGTATACATTAGTTTAGGCTACGTTTTTGTTTTTTAACTTAGACGTTTGTATTGTTTATGGTTAGAATGCTTTGATGTAATGAGCTCAATGTCTGGAACTTTCTTGGGGGTTGAGGAAACAATGAGAGCGAGACTGTTCTTTGATTAATGATTCAACTGTTAGTTCGGTAGTGTAAATTTAAAGTTTTTGTTTTCAGAGATGTGATAAAGTGCAGTGCGCACGAGAGAAAATTAGCAATTAAGTTAAATTGTAGTATACTGTCTATTGCATAACTCTGAACTTTCATCTATCAGCTTATCAACTTGTAGTTGAAGAAATAAAATGCTTCCCTTTTCGTTATGTCGAATGAACTTTGCATTATTCTTTTCACCGAATAATTCAAAAATAACAACAGAAAACGTTACAATAATATTATAACCATACCAGAACTTCAGCTGTGCTACCCCGTTAATCTAAAACATTTATATGTAAACGGCCATTATACATCTATAAATAATTAAGTTTCTTGATACAGTTCCACACATTCACACACACACAGTGCTCTGGGATTGTATTCACACATGGCTAACTCGGAATGTACTGCGAGTGTGCTCAGTGAATGCGAACGTAAACATGCACCAAATATGTAGATTAATACTGTCCAATTATTAAAAATAAAATCTAAAAACGTCTTAAGTTGCGTGAATTTGCAATAAGAGACACTACAGAATGCTTGGAGTGTGGAAAATTGATACATCAAATAGTCGCAATGTACGGTCATGCGCGACCTGCTGTGTGCTAGACCAACCCATGGCAACAAGATTCTTATAACTAAAAATTCATTTCGACGAAGTGTTGTCAGAGCGTGACAAAAAATAGTATAGGAAACTATAATACAGTGACTTTATTCACTCCAATTTAGCAACTTGTGAACGGGCACCATATGTGAGATCTGTGCAACGTCATCTTCACGAATGCGTCTCGGAAGGGTTAGGATACACAAATCATACATTGTCTCAGGAACGGCAACGTTTCGGTTGATGCTAACGTTGCAATCTAACTAATTTATCTTGTACTGTGTGGAGTAACGGCAGCCACTTCATCCAGTAACTGAGTAACTATCTAATTTGGATACAGAAGCAGTAATATAGAACTCAACCATTGTTGTGTTGTGCAGGGACGTAGCCAGCACTATAAAATGTGTGGGTCTTTTTCCAAAATAATTCGGTTTTTTTTCTACAGAAAGAACTTAAGTGATTTTCACGAAAGTCAAGTCAGAAGTTAGTGGACCTTTAGATTTTTTTTAAAACACTGGAATGGTCTTTCGACCCTACTGGATACGCCCCAGGTTATGGAAATTGTTGTGTGAACTGTGGCAAACATAATAACCGGGGAATTTAGTGCCTTGACGCTGATTGGCTGTTGGGAATCACTGATCAGTGATATCATACAGGGGTGTGATAGTTTCACATGTGTCCGCTAGGGTGCATGAGAATAACTTGATTGTACCGTTTTGAATTCAACGGATAACTACACGATTATAATTTTAATATTTTATTCGATAGTTCTGTTTTTTAATCATGTGACTGTAGGGTATACTTGACTTTTCTTATCTATACGTTCATAACACTTAATAAACAAATCACGTGACGTTTTAAGATAAATATAATATTATACCAGCACGTGATCAGCAACATAACTAATTCTAATTACTTTGATGTATTCATAGAAGTGGCTCACAGTATGATTACAAAGTGGATTTAAAAGTCATGTTGAATTTCTGATTTGACCTCGACTACAAAAGTTCGGACACATCGTCTTTACTATATATCTTGATTGTCATTACGAGATCATGGTCAACTTTCTATTTTGTAATTTAAATAAGCAATAAATTAGTTATTCACAAATAATACGCTTCAAACCGTAACCAAAACAAATTGATAATTTTCTTTGGTTGCTTTCAGAAGATTTGGTACAAATTCTAGATGCGAACTGATTTTGATGCTTAAAAATGTTGTTAGAAACTCAGATAGCCAGCTCGTGGTGGTATTTTTGAGTGGAGGAATAGTAATAGTGGAAGCATGTGACATAAATATTAAGAACAATTAAATATAATCTCTGAAAGTCGAAATCTAGACCTGATTAATCGTTTTTTGCTTTAGTGTTAGAAACTAGTGAAAAGATGCATCTCATGATATGGTGTGGTTAATATATTTAGTTCGTTAGAAAATTTGATAATATGAATGTAAAAAAAAAAAAAGATACAATTTCCTTGGACTTACGACTTTTGTGATCATTCGTAAAATTACGTGTGATATGAATGAATGACCACGAGTCGTCTTGGTGGTGTGCCTTTACCACAGTTTTGGAATAAGGACGATACGTTTGTAAAATAAACAAACAGACCTGAAAAACAGATATCACGGATTATTCACGTCAGAATAAACAGTGTATCTTCTTCGTTTGATCAAATGTATGTGGTTTGGTTTGTTTTGAATTTCGCGCAAAGCTACACGAGCGCTCTCTGCGCTAGCCATCCCTAATTTAGCAGTGAAAGAGTAGAGGGAAGGCAGATAGTCATCACCACCCACCGCAAACTCTTGGGCTAATCTTTTTACCAACGAATAGTGGGATTGACCGT